TATGCCAAAGATCTGTGATCAGTCAGGATGACAAATTCCTGCCTTTGTAGATAGTGTCTCCACTTTTCCACTGCCATTGTCAATGCCAAGAATTCTTTCTCATAGATTGAAAGTTGTTTATGTTTTTCTCCTAGAGCTTTACTGAGATAAGCAATAGGTTGTCCATTCTGCATCAAAACTGCCCTATTCCATCTATGCAAGCATTTGTTTCAACTGTGAATTGTGCTTGAAAATCTGGAAGTGCAAGGACAGGTGTTGTTGTCATGGCCATTTTCAGATTGTGAAATGCTGTGTTGGCTTGATCAGTCCATTGAAATTGTTTGTTCCTGAGTAGTAGTGTGAGTGGTTTTGCTATGATTCCATAGTTCCTGACAAATTTTCTGTAGTATCCAGTTAGGCCCAAAAATGCTCTAAGCTCTGTGAAAGATGTTGGTACTGGCCATTGGAGCATTACTTGAGTCTTTTCTGGGTCAGTGGACACCCCTTGATCAGAAATGATGTGACCCAAATATTCTAGACTTTGCTGAGCAAAAGAGCACTTAGATGCTTTGAGGTATAGCTTGTTGGTTCTTAGTGTCTCCAACACTTGTTGTATGTGCTGAATATGTTCTCCCATGGACCTGCTGTATATTAGAATATCATCCAAGAACACTAATACAAACTGTCTGAGGAAGGGTTGCAACACTTGATTCATAATGCATTGAAAAGTTGCTGGGGCATTAGTCAACCCAAATGGCATGACCTTAAACTGGTAGTGTCCTTGGTGGGTTTTGAATGCTGTCTTGTGTTCATCTGTAGGCAGCATCCTCACTTGGTGATATCCAGATCTCATATCTAACTTGGTAAACACCTTGGAGCCTTGTAACTCATCCAATATTTCTTCAATAATGGGCATTGGAAATTTGTTCTTGATAGTGATTGAGTTGAGCTTTCTGCAGTCTATGCAAAATCTCCAACTACCATCCTTCTTCTTGACCAAGAGAACTAGGGAGGCAAATGGACTATGGCTGTGTGTGATAAGTCCATGATCTAACAACTGTTTCACTTGGTTTTCTATTTTAGTTTTATGCTGGGGTGAATAATGGTAAGGTCTAGAATTGATGAGGACAGCATCAGGCATAAGTGGAATGGCATGGTCATAACTTCTTGGTGGTGGAAGGGTTTGGGGATCATTGAATACATCTGCATATTGGTGCAACAATAGCTGAATATCCTCATTGGGCACCATGGGAACTGAGTTGGTTGCTGGGGCTGGTCCTTGATGGTGTCCAGTACAACAAATGCCCAAATATCATTGCCCTTTGTTGACTTGTAGAACTATTTAGCTGAGATTGCACTCAATTGTAATGGGTGTGGTTTGATGCCTTTTAGAGTAACACTATTGCCCTTATGCTGGAATGTTAAGGTTTTGCCGACCCAATCACAGTGCATGGGGCTGTGGCTCTGTAGCCAGTCATATCCCAAAATAGCATCATATGGCAATAGGTCTAAGACAATCATGTCTGAAGTGAAGGTATGACCTTGAATATACCAGGTGAGATTGGGTACCATAGTTGCAGTTGTCATCCATTCTCCATTGGCAAGTTTCACTCTTTGCTTGTCCATTGGAATAGTGTGCAATTTGGTCAGCTGCGCAAACTGTGAACTTACAAAGCTGTGAGAACTGCCATTGTCAACCAAAGTTACCATGGTCTTGTTCCTGACTGTGGTTTTCAGCTTGATGCAATCCTTGGATTATGTACCAGCCATAGCATTCAAGGACAACTGACAGAAGTCTTTAGTCAATAATTCATCTATTGCCATTTGATTAAGAAGGTCCTCATTGATCTCTTTATCTAGATCATTAACCACTAGAGCATTGATTTGTGATTTGGTCTTCTTGATACAGACCTCAGCATGGCCAGGCTCAAACTTGTCTCCATAGTGATAGCACAGATTGTTGGCTTTTCTATAATCTCTCAGCTGCTTGTCCCTCCATAAGTTCCCATATCTACTAGGATTGACTTGGTCAGTTTTGTGTTGCTATTGCTTAGCTGGGTTGTTGGTTCTCTGAAATTTCAACTTGTTTCTTTCTAGGACCCTTTGTTGTATCTTTGCGATAATAGCAGCTCTTTCCACTGTGGTTGGGACTTGGGGCTCCACAATTGCTTTAATATCTTCCTTGAGGCCAGTCACATATGTGGTGGCAAAGAACAGCTCATCAAAGTTGTCACTGTGCATGGAGACCTGAAATTGTAGCTTTTGGAATTGGGTGGTATATTCTTCGACTGTCCCTGTCTGCTTCAGGTTCAATATTTCTTGGACAGTTGATCTGTAATCATCTGAACCAAATTTGGATTGCAGGGTTAAGCAGAAGTCTGCCCATGAGATGTTTCTGTGATCCTGTTTGTATGCCTGCCACCACATAGCTGCATTGCCTTGTAAATGCATAGATGCTGCAGTTACCCAAAGTCTCTGGAATAGTGTATATGGTGAAATAGTTCTCACAATTGTCAATCCATATTTTGGGGTTGTCACCATCAAAGGTTGGGAACTGCATTTTGGGAAGGGTGTGATGTGGGAGGTCCTCTCTCTTGGTGTGATGCTGGGCGTGGTGAGGTTGTTTGGAAGTTGATGGTTTATGGCCGTGTTTGGTGTGGGAAAACACATTCTGGAACTCCTCTTCATCCTCAAGGATAGCAGACACTGAGCCCTCAATAAAGTCTTGTGGCTCCTTCTCAAATTGCTGAAGAGTGAGCTGTGCCACCGCTTGTCCATTTGCTCTGACCTGTTGTGCTATGAATTGTTGCTCAGCTGAACACTTGTCGACTTTCTTGTTGTTCTCTTGCATTTGAGTCTTGAGTTCCTGTTGGATGACGCCAATATCATTCATGCGATGGAAAAGCAAATCAACGCTCTCCATGATCTGGTCCCAGCGGGACTTATCATCCTCGTTGCTCTTCGACATGTGGTCTAACAGGATCTGAGTTTGCTTCGAAGGTTTTGGTGGAGCCATTGCTGCAAGCTGTGGAACGCTTGAGGACTCCATGGTGAAACCACAGGTTTGGTCGAAACCGCCCCTATTGCGTGCTTCACCAGTACCCAACACCTGGAAGTAAGGCGGGATCGAGGGATTTTACACAGAGATGAACACTCTGCAACCCAAATCCACAGATACTTCCTCTCCGTTCGCCACCGCACTGCAGAAAACAAGCAAACGCGAATGCGTGCTACTTGTACAGACTGGAGCGGTATGAGATTTGCTCACAGTGGTGTTCGCCTCCAACCACGATTGCCGATGTAGTCCCCTAGTTGATTGTCGAGCCGTAGATGTCGTTGGGCTGGTGGATTAGGGTTGGGGTAGGGTGGTGGAGGTGGTGGGGTTGGTGGAACTCAGGCAAGGTGACGCCGGAACCGCTGCTGACCCAGTTCAACCAAAGGAAGGACCTACGGGAATTTTGTCGAACACCACTCGGGCGTGGACAAAACTCACCTGCCGACCGGAATTACGAACTGAAGATCGAAGCAGACGGTTGCGGAACGTACCGGGGTGAGCTGAGCACCGTTGATGTGGTGGTGGGGACGCCGGTTGCTGGAATCGCCGCGGTAGTTGGTGGTGGCGCGGGCGAGTCGGGAAGACGGCGACGCGGCACGAAGATGGGGATGGGATGGGTAGGGTTGACGCCGAGGAAAGACCGCCTTTGATACCACTTGACAGACCCGTGGCCGCCGGCGAGATGCCGGCGACGTGAGCGCGACAAGGGATCGCCGGATTCGGCCGAGCGTCGAAGGAATCTCTCCGGCTCTTAACTGTTTTGTATTATACTTTGTCTATCTCTTATAGACTCGGTTTCTGGAGTTTAAGGGCTCACGACCACTGAGTACAGTTGGTCCCACATGTCATACAAAAATGTAAATACGTAAATAACTTGAATACGCTTCTCTTCAACGAAGACGTCTTCTTACTTCTCCATGTCTTCACTCCTGTGCCGTGACAGAGCAACAGCGGCGAGCCGACAGGCGCACACAGTGACACACGAAGGGTACCGGCGGCAATGGGGAGAAGGAAGAGAAGAAAAGAAGAGAGAGAAATGAGAGAAAGGAATGAGGGGGCTGCCGGCTAGGGTTGGGGCTGGGAAGGGTCGTTTGCGGGGGGTTTATGAAAAACAGACGAGATACAAAATAAAGTTGAAGTCATGGACAAAAACGTAAAATATCTGAACATGTGTACTGTACATCTCCTCGTGGGTGGACTGCAGGTTGATTTCTTGAAGTTCAAAGGGCTTTTTAGAAAAACATGTGAGGGCACGTGTCGCCATGGGGAGGAGCCACGGAGGGTCGAATTCTGTGGTGGGAGGAGACAAGTGAGTTTAAACAGCTTCCGATTTCAAGGCATTACACATGCCTTAGCCACAAAGCTCCTTCGCTGCCAAGTAGCGGCAGCTATGCAAAAAGCTCCTTCCTTCCTTCCTTCCCGGCCGGCACCTGAAAATCTCTGCACCGAAAAGGTGGTACCGCGCACCTATTGCCTCTTTTCTCAGAACATGCCATCGATCCAAGTACTGTTTGTTACTCGCAGCATGCGCGTTCTCTGACACTTCACTAAGACTAACTCAAGGATATAATTAAAGTTTAACGGAGTTTATATAGCGAAAGAAAAGTATCAATATTTATATATAATACAAAACAGACATATCATGGAACGAATGTAATGACATTTATTTAATTTCATAAACATTGACTTAGTTTAGGATACCAAAATTACACTTTTGTTCGGACAGGGAATATTCTACTATTATAGTACTATATGATTCAGCAAACTAAGCACTAAACAAGTGTAAGATAAAAGTAAGTTTCCTGTCGATCACGACAACAAGTCCCTTCCGTCAAGGACCGAAAAAAGGGCAAATGCTCTCTCGTTACAGGGAACAGGAGCTACTGCACTTCACTCGGTGAAGCCAAATTGACCAGCTCGATCGTCTTCGCCGACGACGGCCATGGATCGAGTCAGGACTCAGGACTCAGGAGCAGTCGTCGTGCACGGTGGCGGTGGTCATCCGGAAGGCGCGGTCCCAGGCGTAGCGGAAGCGCACCTCGGCGGCGGCCTCGATCCGGCGCCCGTCGCCGACGAGGTAGTCGCGCCCCTCCCGGCGGAACAGGCGCGGGTCGACGGCGACGGAGCTGGCGAAGCCCTCGGAGCGGAGGTACACGGCGCGGACGGCGCAGCGGCAGGTGTTGCGCACCGTCACCTCGAACACCGGGTCGTACCCGGCCTTGTCGCCCGTGTTCGACTGCGACACCGTCACGCTCGACGCCGCGCACTTGCTGGTGGCCTTCGTCGGCTTCGACGCCACCTCCGCCGCAGGCCGCGCCCCTGCACGCACGCACGACGCGAGACGACCGCCATGGGTCAACAACCACCGTCCACCATGCGAAGAATTGAGAGGGAAACAGGGGGTTCGTTTCAGCACAGAAGCTGTGTGGGTGCGTTGGTTACCTTGCGCTTGAACAAGGAGGAGCAGAACGAGGGCAGGGAGGAGAAGCAGCAGCTTCGCCGACTGTGCCATGTTCTTCTTTCTGTTCACTTTGATTGAGGGGTTCTGGGTCTGTTGCCTGTGGCATGGAACGGTGCCTGTGATGCCACCCGGCTCTATTTACAGAGGGAATGGGAGAGGTGTAGGAGAGGTGTCCGTGCAGCTACAGAGTGCAGACCAAACGGTCCTGTGCATGTGCATCAACTGCGTCCCAAGTCTTCCACTGCTCGTGCTCTGCTTTTGGTCCACAGAGTAGAATGCACAGCTCAAAAAGGAGACGTCAATACTTAACTGCTGGCCTGCTGCCCAGTTGCAGGAACGTTTAGAAACTTGTCACTTGTATTTGCTTTATCGCTAACATTTTTTTGACGAAACTAATAAGAAGAAGAAGAAAGTGTTACCCCGAGCAAGTAGTGCATTGATCCTAAGCCTGTTCGCTGGGTCGTATTTAGCTTATAAGCCATGGCTTATCAGCCAATCAACAATATTTTTTTCTCATACCAAACCAGCCAACAGTACTTTCAGCCATGGCTTATAAGCCAAACCAGCCAAAACGAACATAGCGCCTGTCAGTGATGGCCAAATGCGACTGGTGGACGGGAGATACCATTTGCAACTTGCTTGTTAGTTTGGTGTAAAAGCTTTTGTGTGTGTGGCTGTTGCTGCTGTTGTTGTTTTTATGACTGACTTGAAAAGGACTGTTAATTGATCAACATTGCTGCCTCCAAATGTCTATTTTGGAGTTGAGATTATGTCAAGCTTTAGTGTCATCACTCACATGAAAAATATGCTATACTAGCTTAGATACTAGATATGTTCTTTTTTTTAACAACGTAGGCCCCGTTCGGCTTATCTTATAATCCGCACTATTCAGCTTGTTTTTCCACCGGAACAGTGTTTTCCTCTCCCAACAATTCAGCCAGAACAGTGTTTTCAGCCAATTCAGCCAAGTTTCAGCAGACCGAACGGGGCCATACTAGATATGGTTAGTCCTCATGTCGAGGTAATAACACCTCCTCATAAAAAAAGAATTATTACAACAAAGAAATGCCAAATGCTCCTTACCAGTTTTTTTTTACACGGTGTGAACTGTGAAGTTGAGGGGATGTTTCAACAACAAACGGTTCAGATGGAAGGTGTCCCTAAAATTTCTTCAAACACAAGACAATCTCAAGTCAATCGATTAGTCAATTGGCTTCACACAACTGACTAGCACCGTGTTGCTGCAGCGAAATTTCCAAGCAGTTATGCGCCAATGTGCCCATGTGAAGTTTCTCGCACTGGAACAAAAACCTGAGGCCGACTGACCACTGATACTAGTACACGTCTGAGCCCTTGTTTAGTTGGGTGAATTTGGATTTTGGGGCTACTATAGCACGTTCGTTTTTATTTGGCAAATAGTGTTCAAACATGAACTAATTATGCTCAAAACGTTCGTCTCGCAATTTTCCACCAAACTATGCAATTAGTTTTTATTTTCGTTTACCTTTAATGCTCCATGCATGAGCCGTAAACATTCAATGTAACAGGTACTGTAGCAACTTTTTGGACTTTGGGTCCAACTAAACAAGGCGTGAGCCCTTACGTCTGTTTCCGAACACTGTTTGTTGTACGTACGAACAAATCTATGGTTCACACGCATGACTTGACTGGTGAGTCGACTCGCGAGTCTTCTTGGAGTATCCTCGTTTGGATCTCACTTTCTGCATCCAGCGGTCAAGCTCGTAGGTCGTCGCCGAGTCTACTAGACGGGACAAGATAGCATGGCAGACATTAATCTGAGCTGTTGGATAACATGTGTGGTTCATCGGTACAGGAGGCGTCAAGCTCATCAGAGGAGGCGTCAAACATCGTTTTACAATAATCCTATAATCCATTTGGACCTGTTTTTGGCGACGACGAGTCTTTATCAGTTGAACTAAGAATACGCCACCATAACCCAGAAATCCAAACACTCCAATTTTATATTGTTCATAACTCCAATTGTAATAATACAGTTATGATCGAAATATACTCGAAATATACTCTAAATAGGTAAGGAAGAAGAGTCTATTAACCTCACATAGCATTACCAAAAACAAGCGTGGTAAACTGCCAAGAGCCAGAGTGAGTGTGGGGGAATAGGGGAGCTATTTGGTGGCAAATGTCCTTACGGGGAGCTATATATGGATACCTGCTATAAAATTATGATATGTGTCCATGCAAAAGGATCCGATGTATCTTTGCAACTAAAACATACGGATTGTCAACATCTACCCGGCAGGACCAAAACACTCATGCGATCCATATCCAGCAGGTAAATAATCATCGCATCTTATGCGATCCATATCTGACAGACAAATAATCACCGTATGGAGACACTGGAAGGCAAGTAAATAAAATAGAATAAAACTCTGGCAGACAAATAATCACCGCATGGAGACACTGGAAGGCAAGCAAATAAAATGAAATAAAACGGAAAGAGAATTATGGGAAGAGAAAAGAATTTATTGGAATATCACCATGCAATGATCATGATCATGATCCAAATCTCGTTCGTCGTCCTTCGCGTTGCATGTTGACAACAAATACTTTTTTTTCTCTATCTCTATCTCTATCTCTTCTATATACAACTGAAATATACGGATTGTCAACATCTACCCGGCAGGACCAAAACACTCATGCGATCTATATCCGGCAGGCAAATAATCACCGCATGAAGACACTGGAAGGCAAGTATATAAAATGGAATAAAACTCACGGAATCACCAGCAGTCAAATAATCACCGCATGGAGACTAATGAAGGCAAGTAAATAAAAATGGAATAAAACGAAAAGAGAATTATGGCAAGAGAAAGGAATTTCTCTATCTCTACAACTAAAACATACGGATTGCCAACATCTACCCGGCAGGACCAAAACACTCACGCGATCCATATCCGGCAGGCAAATAATCACCGCATGGAGACACTAGAAGACAAGTAAATAAAATGGAATAAAATAGAAAGAGAATTATGGAAAGAGAAATGAATTTATTGGAATATCACTACGCAATGATCATGATCGTGATCCAAATCTCGTTCGTCGTCCTTCGCGTTGCGTGTTGACAACAAATACTTTTTTTCTCTATCTCTACAACTAAAATATACGGATTGTCAACATCTACCCGGCAGGATCAAAACACTCATGCGATCCATATCCGGCAGGCAAATAATCACCGCATGGAGACACTGGAAGGCAAGTAAATAAAATGGAATAAAACTCACGGAATCACCGGCAGGCAAATAATCACCGCATGGAGACTAAGGAAGGCAAGTAAATAAAATAGAATAAAACAAAAATATAATTATGGGAAGAGAAAGGAATTTATTGGAATATCACCACGCAATGATCATGATCGTGATCCAAATCTCGTTCGTCATCCTTCGCGTTGCGTGTTGACAACAAATACTTTTTTTTTCCAAAAAATGAATTATTGCCAAGCCTCATGCGGGCTAGGATATTGTAAGTCCGAGTATATATGTTTTGGCAAGGCAGAGCATGGATAAATTCAATTCGATGCCTAGCAATAAATTTTTAGCCTTTGAGGCAACTGATATTTGTCGTAACTTTCAGTCAACAAGCTCCAAGCCTAGCTTTTATTTCAGATTCATTACGATAATGAATGTGTTTCTAGACATTATCATGGTATAATACACGTGAAAAATTGAATTGATATATTCTTAATTTTGACTTGGCTAACAAACATCTCATTCAATTCATGTTGCACCCGTTGCAACGTACGGGCACTCATCTAGTGTGAAAGAAAAAGTAATTATTAGATGTTACTGGCTTGCACATAAACACCTGTAGTAAAATCATAGTAGACATGACTCCCTCGTGAGGATGGTCTAAAATAAGTGATGTTTTAGGTTTACCCTAAGTCAAACCATTTGAAGTTTGACCAAAGTTATAGAAAAAGTACTAATATTTATGACACCAAATAGGTAGAATATGAAAATATATTTCATAATAAATCTAACAATACTTATTTGGTATCATAAATCCGAGTAGTTTTTTTTATAAATTTGGTCAAACTTAAAAAAGTTTGACTTAAGACAAACCCAAAACATTACTTATTTTGGGACAGAGCGAGTAGGTCTTAAGTTTTTGATCATGCCGCATGACTTCGGCTAAATATGGCAATGGGCCACGACTAGAGACCCAACAGGTATTTACTTCATTAGGATCTGAATCTAAACTAAATACGTCACCCATTGATCTCTAATTGGGAAAAACCTTCACCAAATGGTACACGGGTACTAGAACGTTCATATAGTTTCCATACCCGTTAACCCATGGGTAAAAAATACCTAAAGATCCAAATACATGTCCTGGCCCAATATCAAATTAGCCTAGCCCAAATAAGGCAAACCCTATGTATTTAAGCCAATCTTTCACCCTATCCATCTATTTTCCACCTCATCCCTCGATCCCCTCCTGCTCCTGGTGGCCGCGAGCATACCGCACAGACTCACCACTCATGGAGGACCGTACGGGCACGACAACCACAGCAGATCCACACCGCATTGCCTTGCCGCTGCCTACGTCGGCGTCTTTGCCAGACTTCTTCCGTAGCGGCGGCGGGGCAAGCCGTGGCATAGCCCATAGCTACTTGCCACCCGACAGTAGTCCTCACCTAGCCACCTTGGCAACCCTTTGACACATCATCCCACCCCTAAGCCATAACTGCTCCTTCTTCCTCCTCCCCACTCTCCCTACTCCCTAGCAATTTCTCATTGCTAGAGCCAGCCACCATGCCAAGGACCATGCAAGTGTAAGCCAGTGTTGACGGATGGTGACCATTTTCTTTCTCTTATCCTTTCCTATTGCAGTTTTCAGCGTCCGATTCGCATCACTAACTAGAGCAATTTTGGACGTCCAATTTCAAAGGCACATCAGAGTCGAAGATGCTGGCCACCTGCTAAAGTCGCTGGATTCTGAGGACACCGATGCCGCGCTCGCTGGATTGGTTGTGGAACAAGTACAAAAGTATGTCCATTGTTTTGTTTTGT